ACCCCTCAGCATATTTTTAGGCTACCTAATTACCTCACTTTGCAATGCATTAAATGTAATCTCTCAAAATAGGAATGTTTATAAAATGACAAAAAAGAAATTCTGGTGGCCAACACTATATAACACACACAGTTTGTAAAGCAGTACTGTTCATTTTAAACAAATGACACTAATAGCAATGTTGCAGAAATCCTTTTTCTCCGTTTATAATATATGGTTGCAATGCACAGTTCAGTAATGAACATTCAACTCTACTACTAATTCTCATAAACTTTGCCTAATCTCTCTCACTGGCTAGCTTCTGTGAAATACATGTATCACCCACTTCCAGTACCTTCTACTACTAGTTTAAAGGAGAGGAACATTATTTTCTTCTACCAAAAATAAGTCAAATCATTTCAGAAAAATGTCTATCTTTGAATCAACCTTTGAGAGACAGCGAATTAACTGTTCACAAAAATCCAGATAAACAATCTTATTAATATCTACATTGAGTTTCATCTCAATTTTAAATAATTTGACAAATATAACTATAGAATGTACTTATCTTTTGCAAACAGTTATCAAAATTTATGGCATATAGTACAAACTGGTGACAGAGTATCCTCTTTATTAATCTCAAGAGTGGAGGAGATCTATGAAAGTGTTTGATGAATACAATTAACTCACAATTAACTAGGCTAAATAAGCCAGTGTACAAAAAAGATGAATCCATTTTTCCATACCTAATTAATATAATCCACTATATTAATTTGTTAATATAAATATACTATAAACTTAATGTTATTTAAAGGAATGCCTTAAGAGATTTTTTTTTCCGAATACATACCTAATACAATCACGAAAAAAATGACCAAAACATTCCAAAGAAAAGTGCTAAGCCATATAAGCACCTCACATAAACTCAATAAACACTTATTGTCCTAAAGGCACTCTTCATTCTCACAAAGAAACAGACCCAACCTAACTTCCTCTCAATGAGCACTTCAAGCAATAACACAGCAACATATTTTGTAGCATACAAGTCTTAGGTACATTATTTTCTCTAAAATTATGAACTCATCACACATACAAATGGCTCTTTAAAACGGTCCAGTAAACTGCTACACTATGCCTTAAATTGCTGTCTATTATGTACTTAAAAATATTTACTAGCAATTGGAGGTTAATATGGCAACTATTACTGGGTGGCAATTATTGCTATTAAAAATATATAAATACTGTTAACACCATGTGCTACTAACAAAATGCTAAACAGAAAACATACGTTAGCAAATTATAAATATTTTCATTAAAGAAAATGAACCATCATGAAAAAAAGATGCTTTAAGTGTAAATACTAAAATTGGAAATTGGGATGAAAAAATACCCTGTGTATTTTGGCACTTGTGAAGATTAGCAAAATCATTCCCTTTTCCTCATTTTCAATTGGCAGTTCTCCCCATTTGGTTCTAGCTCAAAAGAATAGATCTCAAAGTTTCTTCATTTACAACTATCTTCCCTCGCTACAAAAAATAAATCTCTTAAGAAAAAAAGAAAGCAGGTCAACAACAGATTACCTTAAAAGCTTCAAATATAGAATTCACGGTCCTTAATAGAAATTGTGTACTAATGTGCATGTGTGTTTCAATTTAGGGAGGAAGAATTTGATGTCATCACCAAATCATCCCATAGTTAGGATGATTCTAAGCAAATAAAACAATGTGAACGTGGAGCACACACACCTAAGATTCAGATCCCCTCATGTCAAAGAGTACATACTTAAACCTAGTTAAAGGACACAAAATTTTCTCCATAGAGAGAAACAAAACTAAAGATACACTTACATCCGGAACTCATGTCTTCCCACAGGGTGAGCTGACATACCATAGGGTGCACTGTTACACTTTTCAAGAAGGCAGATTTAACACACTTAACTGAATTCTAACAGAGTCAATCTATAACAAGAGTCTCCCAGAAATGTGATAGACAGCATGAGAAAACAGTTTTGAGTCACAAAGGCACAGCCAGGCATGCATTTAATACAGTAGCTACAAATCTCACAACAGGAAGAATAAGAAACACATACAATGACCCATATCATATATACACAATGGCATTTTTCACATGTTAGGAAAGGGAGGCAGAGGTTGACAGAGAATTGAGGAAATCTGATGCCATGCAGCAGACAATCAGAAAGCAAAGTAAGTAGAAGACTAACAAAAATCTTAAGGCAGCTGATTGCACAATCAACTTTTGCTAAACTATAACGAACACCTAAAGGTAATAGAAAGTGGGTGGGTCATTAATGTGGTACAGAACTTTAATCTCTAGTTTATATTTCAATCTACATTAACATGAGTATCTAGGTAAATTCTATATAAACAATACTTTTCTCTGCTCAAAAATACTGCAGGCCAAAAAAGTACATATATGCTATTATTAAGCACACAGAGTTCTTATAATACATGCTTTATTTTAAACAGGTGATGATTTTATCTCCTTTGGAATTAACTATACTATACAATGTACTTTAAGCAACATATTTTTAATGTTCTTGCTGCTATATCTAATTTTCCAAAAAAATCTCAAATTTGAATGAGAAAAATTTACAATATCAGCACCTTTTTAACTGATTTGTAATTTTAAAAAAATAGCACCTTATCCACCCTCTGCATACAAGAGAATGTAGACTTTCTCTAGTCCTTTAAAAAAAATAAAAATCAAAGCATGCATTTCTGCAGTTCTGCATTTCAAAGTTGCTACCTAAAGAGTAATTCTGTTTAAAAAAAAAAAAAGTATATTCAAAAATCAATTCCTGGTTTAAAGAGGTTTAAGAGAAAATACCCAAAGCATAAACCTTTAGTTGGTCATAAAGCACAGAATCCTCTCCGACAAAATTGTTTCTCCAAAAGAATCTCAAGCATCTTATCTCTATAACATTATCACCCTTACTTAAGCTTAAAAAAAAAATAAAAGATAAAAGAAATGATGTATCTTAAAGACTGGCTACACATATAATATACTTTCATTTGTCTACAAAATCTACTGTATATAAATTAGCCACACATACCCAAGCCATTACCAGTCAGCATGATATATGGTAATTTGGGGGATCTCTCCTCACTAATATTGGTCTACTTGGTTATTTTAATTACCTGTTAAAGTGTCAATGTGGTCACCAGGCACCAAACAAAAACCATTTAAAATATCCCTTAATCAATATGTTTGCTAATCTACGAAGTCCCTGAACCTGATACTAAATGACAGAATGAGGGGGAGAAAAGAGGATGCAAAATGAGTTTTATTCCCACATACCAAAAGATCAAGGGAAAATAATCACAGTCCTGAGAGGAAGAAGAGCAACTTGTAACTGAATTTTAAAATTAAATATCTGAATAAAAATGTTGGAAGAAAAATAAAATTGACCTGATCTTACCACAGCAAAAACATGGATACTATGTCACTCGGGTCTCTGTAAGTAAAAATCGCAGGTTTTGATTTTTTTTATCTGCATAATGAAACATATTGAATAAAATAACACTTCTATTTGAAAAGTTGGCAAGAATTTGTATGTCTCCACTAGTCTCAAAGAAAAAAAGCCTCTATGCTACCCATAATTAAATGTAACTAATTACAATTTGAACACTAAATTATTTATCCAGTGTAAACAAGGATTAAGAGGAAATAATGCTCCCATCTGCAGCAGAGGTTACAGAAAACAATTTCCAAAATGCATGCGCTCCAAAAGTCAGTTCCCCCAAAAAAGGTACACAACTTAAAATAAGTTGGTTTTTTTTAAGGCTAAATTAAACAAACCGTTCAGCCAATTTTCCAATTATATTCTACGCTTGAAACATAATTGCCTTACATCTGTTTACAAATCTTTGCTCAATATTTAAACAAATTCGTAGTGTCCCGGGCACATAGCTATACATACAGTAACTCCTGCACAAAGCACATATTTAAAGACCACGTACTGCAATTATTAGCCTAAACGCCAGGTTTAACAACATGAATGTTTTCAGAGCTAGGTAATACGACCCAATAAAAAGCAGAGATGGCATTTACCACCAAATGTCACTGCGACCGCCAGGAAAGAGTTGCTGGAGCCCTATACATTTTTAATTTCCATGAATCTAGACGCCGTCGTCGGGTGCCAGGCTTCCAGGAGAACAATTGACACCCTAACTGCTTCAAGATTAAGGCAGGCGATTCAAATCCCAAGGAAAAGTTGTCAATTACCAGCGAGAGCGCGCGAGAGAGGCGAAGGCAGATAAAAGCGATGTTATCCAGCCGCCCAGCTTGTTGCTTTTTTGTGTGTGTGGATTCGTTGTTAGGATAGAGAAAACAGTTTTTAAAAGACACAGGAGGAGAGAGAGAAGAAAAAGCTTTCTCCACCTTCCGTCGGCTCGGTGCAATGGCTTTCCGGCTCTCCAGCGTAGTAAGCCCCGAGAGGCGGGCGGCTGTCGGTGTTTACAATCGCGGGAGCTCCGGGTGCCAGAGTCCTTTACTGACACCATCGCATTCGATCAACTGTTTTCGGGCGAAATTGCAGGTGTCATTATAGAATTTTAAAAAAATTCAAAAGCCGGGCGGGCGGGCGGGCAGCCGACCCGACAAGGGGGGAAAAGGCTGCCGATCGCAGGCGCGGGCAGCACAAGGCAAAGCCTTCCACATTTAGGGGAAAAAAGGGGGGAAGAGGGGAGAGGAAGGGGGTGTGATGGCAACAGAGGGTGGGCGTTCGAAGTGCGACCCAGAATCCGTAGCTCTGAGACTTCCACATGCAAATTCCACGCCGAGCGCCGCGCTCACAAATGATTTTTAAAGAGCCAAATAAACACTGGAGGGGAGCCAAGGCGAGGGAGCGACGATCCAAAAGGGGGAGACGCGGCGAGAGGCGAGCGGCGGGGAGAGGCGAGGGAGGGGCACGTCCCGGCGGCGGGAGGAGAAAGTTGGTCGGCGGCGGAGGTCGGGGACCCCCCCCGGCCCGGCCCCCTCCCCGCCGCCCGGCTACTCACCAGCGAGAAGAGGTTGGAGTGACAATCCTCCAGGCTCGCCCCGTTCGCCACCCAGTTCGCTGCCGCAGTCATGATCCTCCGCGAGCCCGGCCGCCAGAGCGGGGCATGTCGGAGCGAGGCGTCCGAGGCGAGGCCGGGCCGGGCGGCGGCGCCTCGCCGG